GAACCATCACTTTATCTGAGGCGTGAGCAATTGTCCCTTTTGCAATATTTTAATATTCTATCCCAACCTGAACATCCCAATAAGCTGTGCTTACTTGATAATGAGTGTGTAACACATTATTTGAAACACGTCCATCCTGTGTTCCTACTTTCCCTTTAAGAGTTTCGCCCTGTCATTGAGGAACTTTCCCTCTCTGATATGCACCCCCAAGCAGTACAGAATTTTGAAATCCCACCTTGGGAAAATTCACGGATTCAGCTTCTTGATGTTTTTCAAACATCACGTAAAGGCAAGCACTAACGAGATCGTTTACAGACAACTTTCGCTGAGCACAGGCACAGATATAGCAGTTATTATCCGATATACACAGATGGATCAAAGTCAAATGATCATGTCGGGATGGCTTTTGTATTTGAAGATTACATTGAGGGCAGATGCCTGCACCATGCTTTCTCAGTCCTAACATCTGAACTAACTGCAATATATTATGGTCTTTTGTACATCTCAAAGCTCTGCCACAAAAAGTTCATAGTTTATACAGACTCGTATAGTGCTCTTAAATCCTTGGAAGCTTTTCCCAACACTCAGAATCCTGTGGTAGTGGATGTTCTCAAAATTCATATAAATTTAACGATTCGAGGATATGAAGTCCTGTACTGCTGGGTTCCTGGACATGCTGGAATAAAGGGAAATGAGCTTGCAGACATCGCAGCCAAATATGCTGTTGAACCGTCTACTCGCCTTATCCCTTTTAGAGACATCTGCTGTGTCATCAAGGGAAAGATACGGAAAAAATGGCAGCAAATTTGGGATGTTCAGCATCACAACAAGTTGAGAAACATCAAGCCTAGAATTGAGCATTGGGATTTTGCTGGAAATCGTAAGGAGGACGTTCTTTTGACTCGCCTCAGAATTGGTCACACTAGAGTCACACATAACTATCTTCTCAAAGCTGAAAATGAGCCTGTTTGTTTTAATTGTAATGTTTGTTTATCTGTTCGTCATATTTTAATTGAGTGTCCATGTTTTAATAGTGTTCGCCAGAAATATTTTAATAGCTGTGACTTACCTCTCGACCGTTTAATCGGAAGAGAGGTCAATTGTAATTTATTTTATTATTTAAAAGAGATTGGCTTTTATTACCTAATGTAATTTGTTTTGAAGACTGTGTCTTGAATTTTAATATGTGCTTTTAACTTGTGTCTATGACTTCATCCTCTGGATTTGGTACATTTATCTACTTGTTTTTATTTATTGAATTTTAATATCATCAATTGTAATCATCTCATCTTGTGTTTGGCGCGTCATAATCATCTCTGGTTTTTGCGCCATAATCACTCACTCACTCACTCACTCTTTTAGCAAAAAGAGATGATTTACTATCAACTATAAAGCCAATTTTATGCTATACATCTCCCGCATTGCCTTCATTCTCAAAGCTGGACTTCTGTGAACTTCAAGTAGTACAGAATAAGATTCTGGAAAGAATTGTACATGCTGATTATGTGATTAGAAACAAACTGATCTATGATGACTTGAAAAATCTTCAAATGGAAAATCTGGGAACAACTTGATAATTGAAAATAGTGGACCATGTGGTAAATTTTTCAGAAGCCCTTAGTTGCGAAAAAAATTCCAGGAGATGATTTGGTCTGACCAAATTATCTTCTGGAATGAGTTGGTAACTAAGGACACCCATATGCTTAGAAACCAAAATTTCATAACCTAGCCTGGATTTATAGCCTTTTACTTATTTTCTTCCATGGCATAACTTTTGTCTTTCACCACTTTCCATTTGATTAATATCCTTGCATTACAGGAGATAGTAATCTCTCCCCTTCTTTACTTCACTTCCTTAACTATTCTTGGAATTTCATCTGCTAGCTTATCAAGTTTGTGCTCTCAGAGGCGTAATGATCTTATCTAGCTTATGAAGGCCCTCTGTTGGAGCTACATAAACAAATAAATAATCCATATCTGTGTAACTCATTCGTTTAGCTTTTTAAATGAACTGCTGATTCACTTTTAAATATTAACATGCATTCTGTTACAACATGTTCTGTAACAAAGTTTAATTTCATGTGCATATAAATTTTGGGTGGCTGGTATTCATTTAGCACTGTAAGTAAAACATCTTTTATCCATTTGTTATCTACATATAATCTGGCTCTTCCTTCTCACTATGCAGTTTCTGATGAACAATGTTGGATTTCTCTTTCACCAACTTGTGAGCCATCTGTCAATTGATACAAAATTCTCTTCTAGCATTTGGCGAATTAGTGAAAAAAGCTCTAGAAAAGAAACAATTTTAGTTTTGTAGCTTGGAACTATTCTTGGAAAGCAGTTTCAATATCTGTTGATTTCCTGTCTTTTTTGCACCATTCTTGGAAAGCAGTTTCAATATCTGTCAATTTCCTAAACACATTTTCATTTTTTATTAGTTCCTCATTAATTATAATTCCTTGTTTAATTAAATTGCATGATGTTGTTTAGGAAATTCCCAGGTTAAATGTAGTTTTTCTTTGGATGCAATTACTGAAAACATCAAAATCTTTTAAAAGTTTATCCTTATCTTTCAGGCTTAAGTCTTTTTGTATGGCATGCTACAAGTTAAGAGGATAGCAAGTTAAAAATTGCTTCTTCAAATTATTCATTCAATTTCAAAACTTATGCTTCTAGCCAGTAGAATGATTATCCTTAGTCTTTATAATTGATTTGCCACTTCATGATTACAAGCATTATCAATATTTTTAGGGTTTAGTGTTTTTTTAAGTAATAATAAATACCTAAATAAAATATGTAATGTTTATGTAATAAATAATTCTTTGTAATTATAAGTCATCATTCTTTTTCTTCTGTAAAATTCGGGGAACTGCATCAAGGTGTTTGTGGTAATATGTAAATACCAGATTAAGTATTAAATATTTTTTGCTGACGAAGACAAGATAGACTATTTAAACAAGCACTATAGTGTAAACTTAATTAATTTTTTAAATTTTAATAAAAGACAATAAAAATTAAGGGAAACGGTTGAGGGGTAATTTTTATTTATGCAATTATTTACAAGTGAGTGGCAACAGTGATTAATGTTCTAGTTTTTTCTCAGTTATGTAAGACGCACTTTGGGTTTGTGTTCCAATTTAATGTCAAGTATTCAAATAGGCTTTTATATGTATACAAAATTCTCAACAATATGAAGGATTAATCCAAAATAACCAGAATTTTCTTTCACTTCATCCACATCACTTAATTGACTCAGTATTAAAGTAACACAGAGCAAGATCTGGTGAGTAGTGTGGTTGAGACATAAGCAGCATGTTATTCATCTTCAAATATTGTTGAATTAAGAGAGCCATGTCGGCTGAGCATAGTAGTGATGTTGAAATGAGTCTCTGGTTTACAGTTCTGTTTCTCTCACATGCTTTTAGATAATCTTTGCAAAATATCACAATAAATATTTCAGCTCAGTGTTTGTCCTGGAGATATAATTTATTTTTTCGATCCCATTTTCATCAAAGAAACAAATTTTGTCTTCACGCATACTAATTGATTTTAAAACTTCCATCACTATAAACGAAATATCTTGTCTTCCAAGGAAATTCACTGAGCATTAGTGATCAGATAACTTTTCCTCTCTACAAGGTGTTTCTTAAATTTTTGCAGCATGTTCAGTAACTTATTAAATTTCCTGCTTATCCCAGTCCATATTATTATTTTGTTTTCATAAAATTTACAAAGAGTAGGGCAAAGGCGCATCATTGGCGCAATAAATGTGTTAATATGCTTTCTTGAGGAATTTGTATTCTTTTACTATCTTGATGCGCCGCCCAGACGGTATTGTGGTTAAGAGAGTCTGACTGTGATACCGAAGGGCCCAGTTCGAATTCCGGAGAAGGCATGGTGTAAAATTGTCTGTCCCTTCATAGGAGGTAACAGTGGCCAACCTATTAGGTGCTTCCATAATAAAGAGACCACCGATCTGGCCTCAGGAGTGGATGATGCCAGCATAGGCAAGTGCCTGGCATTAGAGAGGGGAAAAAAAAAAAAAAAAAAAAAAAAACTTGATGCTTGTTTTGTTGGTCATTATGTTGTTCCTACTTTAAGTTATTTCAGACATTCATGCATTTGTCTATCTGTTTCTGTGTGAGTGTGGGACACAAATTTGGCAGACAAGCATCTTGTCCACAAATTTTCTGATAAAATTCTCTAGCGGGAATTCCATGACAAATTTATTTCATCATAAAAGGACATTTTGTCATGTTTTCCTCATTTCTGCTTGTTGATGGACTGCTAGGTCATAGCATATCTTCAACTAACATGTTTTCAAAATGGGAAAAACTTTCATACTGTAGTAATTTACTCAAAGTATCATATTTAAATTCTAGACAAAACATAGAAATGGTCTTTGCAGTTTTTTCCAACAATAAACATTTAATTCACAATTTTTGCACTTTGTAGCCACCAATCACGGAAATCACAGGGCGCTATTAGTAGGAATTGTAAGCAAATTACTCCAAAGTACTTTACATAGATTTATGTTAATAGGCTACACACTGATGTTAATAAACTCTACCACAAATTGATGGTGTTGGAAATTCCAAGCTAACTATAGGTTATGCCTTTTGGCATAACCTACAGTTATGAACCATATTTCTGCTTATTTTGGAACATCATGACATATTTATTTTGATACTTATTTATTTTAAAGAACTGATATATTTACTTTATTATTAAAAGATAATTCAGATTATTTTTAAAAACTGATATGTTTACTTTATTATCAAAAGATAATTAGACTGTTAACCATTCTTAGCCTTTGAAGTATTGGTACTTATTTTCATTCATATAAAAAATTACCTTACAACAACTAATAAATCATGAAATGTTCTTATCATCAAAAGACTCAAAATGTGAAGGTTCTTTAAAGTGAATTTCTTGCATATTTATGTATATTCATATTCATGTATTTATAAAATTGTCTAATAATTTCTTTACTTCAGAGTTTAACTGAAGAACAGAAAAAAAGGATGGAATATAATAAAATGTTAGCAGCTGAAAGACGCAGAGCAAGATTAGCTGCTGCTAATGCAGTTTTTCAGAATGATGCACTTATATCTTCTCCAGTGCAGGTCCGAGAACTATCACATGAAGACAAAAATCCACAACCAGAGTTTGATAAACTTTTGAGTTCTGATACTAGGATGGAAGCTGATAACCAAATTGAACACCAAGTGGTTATTAATGAGGTCAGTGATATAGATCGTGATTGTGATGATTTAATTACTTCTAACTGTGGAGAAAATTCATATAAATTAAGAAAAGATATTGATATGAATTCTGAGAAATTAGGGCTTGATTCCTTACTAGATTTAGTGGATGAAGATGAGACAAAGAAATTGACTGAAGGCCCACTAGGAAGCTCAGTTACTTTAACTTGTGATGTTAATGCAGGTCCTTCTCAGTGCAGTAGTATGTCTGATAAATTATTTACTGCTAATAAAAAAAGATCATTACATGGTACATTGATTGAAAGCACCTTTAATGTAAACCAAAACGATGATAGTAAAATTACACCTACACAAATGTTTAGTCAGAATGGAGGTAATGAATTTTCAAGTTCTCAGATTTTAATTGATAAAGTGAATACAGTGTCTGAAAACTATGATAAACCGTTGGATACTGATAATATGGTGTTGAATCACAATGTGAATGATGCATGGAATATGAGAGTATTTTGAATTCTGTTGATGAAACTGAAAAGAATTGTGCACAAGATAATTACTTAATTGCCAAGAATGAAAATGGTGTATTCAGTGACTATAATAATAAAGCAGTTGCAGATGATCAAAAGCACTCTAGTGGAAAGTTGTGTATTTAAATTCTGATATATTAGAACTTAATGAATTATTGAACTTAGTAGATGATGAGAAGCAGACATCATCTAATGAAAATGTGTAAATCACTTAAAAATTGCATTTCCTTTATCTATGTTGTTAATGAAGGCCAAACTGTACTGTTCCAAATAAAAGTATGTTCATATCAAATTTCAGTACAATATTGTTTTAATTAATGTGTATGATGTTATGTAGACATACCTTACACAACATACTATGTTATGGCATCTGTAAGCACACAAACACAAGTCTCACTGTATGAATGTTGGAACTAATCTCCTGCTATCTGTAAACATAAGTTTTTTTTTTTTTTTTTTTTTTTTTTTTACATAGACTGATGCCACTTTTAAAAAAGTTTGATAAAAGGGCCTTTATTGATCATGTAACATGAAATTTAGTTTGAAATTCATCTTGGTAAATTAAAAAAAATATATGCTTTGTATAAGAGTTGACAATCATTAACAAGATTCTCTACTCTACTACTTAGAATTAACAAAGGGCAAATATGCAAAATAAATGTGTTTTTCAGTATCACAAATCAAATTGGCATGCTTTTTTTGTTTTGATTTCAGAATTCTTTTATTTGGGACACCATATGTTATTTATTAGTGGTATATAATAAATGAGACTTAAAAGGTGAAAAATAATTACATTAAGCAACATAAAATTCAATTAATATGCACTTTAAATATGACCTGATTTCAAACTTTTAATTTAGAGTATGACCATGTACTTTTTTGTAAATGACGTAAGTCTGTTTATTTTTTTCTCTTTTACACGGAGCAATAACATTAAGTGCTTTTGTTTGCTAACTGTATGGTCATTCTGTATGTTACTTAAATTTGTTTGCAAACTTACAGTTCTAATTTTATTGTGTATGGGCATACTGAATAGTGTTTAAATGCACAAGTATTTTACAAAAATGAGTTTAGCAACACTATGTGAGTTGGACAATACATCTTTTAACTTACCATTTTAAGACTTCATCTGCCTAATAAAAATTTTGGTTTTTTGAAACATAATTCTTTAGGTTACTTAAAAACTTCTATGTGCTTTGTTGTAGTATATTTGCACATTTTCTATTAATTATGAAGATACTAATTTGCTAATCTATTTTAGTTAAGTTCACACTGGGATGGAGCTCAGTTTAAGCACTTTCATGCACTTCGTCTAGATAGAATAAGCCAATCCAATCCAGTGAATTTAGTTCAGATTTTTTTTTAAAATTGTATGCTGAATTTAAATTATTGTTAAAAATTAAAATACAAAATATGAAATGAACAACTGAAATGTTTGACATTTCTGAATTAAAAAATATCAAAATAAATTAACTAATAAACAGGATATTAAGTACATATTTTATCAATTATCTTCCCCCTTCCGTACGCAATGAGTAATAAATCTATCATAGTTTAGCCCAGCGATCGCCAACTGGTTGTCAGTGAAAACTTCTTGATAGTCCACAGAAACATTGGTATATTATTTTATATTTTTATGAAGATTCAGTTTAAAAAATGACGAGTAACAAAACCTACTATGGAATATGGATTATACTTTTTTTAAAATTTTAGCTACTATTTTTAACGAAAATCCTTCTGAATTTAGTGACTTTTTAGCTATTTTTGCTAGTGTATCTAGCGACATTTGAAAAGGAGAGCTGGCATCCATGGATATGCTGCTGTTATCAATAATAGCACGAACTGGAATTCTCTTTCCTTTTGAATTACAAACAGATGCTATTGTAGTCATTAATAACATAGTTTTTCTCAGTGTCAGTCGGCAACTTGATGGATTTAATTAAAAGAAAAGTGTCACAGGAAAATATATATGTATTTACACATAAGATACAAATTGTTGTAAAAATGCAACGTCAGTCAAAACTGATTAATTTAACCCCTTGGGTACGGATTTATTTGAGAAAATATTTGCATGTGGAATGGCTATAATTTTTGGTTGTGATTCATCAATAGCTACTTCACTATCAGGAGTATAAAGGTAACAAAATTTATTATTTAGGTAATCCACTATATTTCTAATCTTTCTTATTCTGTCACCTTTATTTTCCTTTTCATTATCCATAAAATGTAGAAAGCTTGAAATATCAAAAAACCTATCGCAAAATTGCTGGCAAAAATTGGAGTACTTATTGCAGAGTTGCCAACTCTCCCGATTTAGGCGGGAGACTCCTGATTTTCAACCACTCTCCCGCCAACCCGATTTACAATATATTTCTCTCGACTTTTTCTTATTCTTAAAATTTCTCACGATTTTCATGGAACTTGGCTTAATACTTCGTTATATGAACAAAAAAAAAAAAAAAGTGATTTTGGACATCTGAAAGCAATTGAATTTTATCTAGATTATATCTAAAACAAAACCTTGCGAATCAGATGAGAATTTCTGCTTTGTGAGTGAGAGCATACGTATCCAGAAATGTCGTTTTCCAATTCTCCAATGGGCATCGAGCTCCACTGAGTGTTATCTGGCATATATTGGCCAATGAGCAGAAAGCAAGCTCAAAGCTGTTAGTTGTATGTTCTTTAGTTATTTCGTTCATCTTGTCCTGAGTTGTGTGAGTACACGTGCCTTCGGGAAATAGTTTTAGAAATTATCATCTTTTGTTATGTCTGTGAGAAAGGTGAAATACTCATGTACGTTTCAAAAATCATACACAGTTGACTTTCCTTCCATTATTTCCTCAAGGAAATGTAATAAATTTCCGATGTGTACTGTCTGTCATTGCGATTTTTCAATTTTGCATGGTGAAAGGGTGGATGTTCTCAAACATGTGCGTACACAAAAACACAAGGACAACATGAGTTGTTTTGAAAAAAACGAAAAATTTAATTTTTTTTTCGGAAACAAAGGACTGAAAAGTTATTATTGCAGAATGTCTGTTCTCTACCTTTTTACTGGAGCACAACCTGCCACTGAATGCATCGGATCGTGCTGCAGCTTTATTTTGAAAAATGTTTCACGGTAATGAAATCGCTAAGAAATACTCAAGTGCAAGGACCAAAACAGGTGCAATTGTTAAAGAAATGGGTTTGAAAAATAAATCTTTAGTTATTGATTACATTAAAACCACTCCTTCCTGCCTCTTTACGAATGGAAGCAATAATACCGATTCAAAACTGTATCCAATTTTTGTTTCTTTTTTTAATCCAGAGTCTTCAGAAATTGAGTGAAGTTTACTTTCTGTCCCCACTTTAGAACGGCATTCGACAGGCTTTAATATAGCACAGCTAATTATTAAAACTTTAAAAGAAAATGTAGTCCCTCTGTATAATTTGCTTAGCACTTGGTGCCGATAATGCACCATTAATAATAGGCTTGAAGACTGTTGTTGCAGGCATCTTAAGAAAGGAAGATTCAGATTTGCAGATTATGAGGTGCACCTGTCACCTCTTAAATTTAGCAGCTGAAAAAGGGGCAGCTTCTTTACCAATAAATGTGGATAAACACATTGTTGATATTTATTATTATCTTGAAGGGAGTTCTGAAAGGAAGGAAAAATTGAAACAGTTCCAACAGCTGCATAACTGATATTAGTGATGACGCATTAGAAAAACTTTTATTAGCAAAAGCAGGCCTACATGGCAATTGCTATGAACAAAATTATGAAGTTTCTTTCTTAACAAAAGCAAAATCTGCCACTGTTTATAACATATGTACGAAAACTGATTAAAGTGTCTTTCCCCCCCTTAAACGATGCAAGTAATAAAAATGTTTTTTATGTGTAAGGTATTTTTGTGTTGCTTGCATTTAAGAATTAGTAACTATTTGAAGTTAATTCGTTATTAAAAACTATATCATTTAAAAAGTCTTTTTAACATTGTGAAAAATCTCCTGATTTCTTAAGAAAAGTCTCCTGATTTTTGAGTATCATAGGTTGGCAAGTATGTTATTGCATATCTTTTTGACCAATACATATGCATTTTTGGGCTTCTTCAATTGCGACATCAAGATGCATAATGCAATATAAGCTTTCATTTCATCAGAACTTACGGGAAACCACCTTTTTTTTTTTTTTTTTTTTTTTTTTTTTTTACACAATCTTCTTTTTCTATCACTTGTCTGGCATATCTATTCGTCTCTTCTACTATAGTATCCCAAAAATCTTCATTCAAAACTTCTTTCAAAACATCTAAAGGCATAGGATTACCACCTAGTCTACGCAGGCTCAAAGAATTAATTCCAGATATTTCAGAAAAACCTTTTATATCGGCTACATTTTCTTCTTCCCAAATCCATTCCTCTGATACTAGTTCACGAGAAGATTCACTATCACTGCTCGATAGACGTCTTGTGCATCTTCGAAACCTTAATATTATATTACAATTGTCATCATTTCTTAGTTCAATATTGTCTTCATCACCTTCGCTTTGTATTTCATTGTAATTGACAATTTCAGGATCACTAAAAAATTCTTCTTTAGATTTTTCAAAGTCACTTTCGCTATCAGTTGACATAATGGGGCAGTGTATCGCAAATAATGTTCACCGAAATACTGTAATTGCCTCTTCTATTATGATTGATACTCGCTCTCCTAATAACAATCAGAAAATTATTTATTACCCTTTGTACCATTTTTCATAGGAAAATTTATTTATGCCCTTTTCATGCACTCTCCTATTCTTTTGATTCCAATTTCCAAAGCGGCTTTTGCGACTTCAACAAAAAAAGTTTTAAAAAATTATTTTAAAAGATATTGTTGCTGATGTTACTCTTTCTTTATGGTTGACGTCATATTCAAGAAACTCTTGAGTCTTGCATTCCCTTCAACACTAAGGACACTTCAGTTTTCATCATTCGTTTTTAAATGTCTGAAACAAAATATTTTCTCATGTCCTTTAAACCACTCAAAAACAAAAGCAGAGTTATGGGATTGCAGAAATTGCAGCTGCAAGGAGCACCATGTTCTAAGAGATTTCCAAATGATTAATTAAAATTTAAAAACTAGAAAAAATGTCGTGGGATGTTCTTATGCCCCAAAAGTTCAAATGAAGTGAGACATCCACATTATAAATCCACTATTATCAACAAATTAAAATTCTCGGTCATAAAATATGAAATAGCTTACTTTCGTGTTTTATAAAATTACTTGTGAATGTATTTTTGCATATATAGGACAACTTAACTGACTGATC